GTTATCTCCATTGCAGAAACTGGAGCTAAACCCAAATTATTGTTTTCTTTATTTAAGTTTAACTTTTAACTGTGAATTTATTCTTCCAGTAAAAAGACGTGTAAACACGTCCCGAAGCATTTTAAGTCCGACATGAAACTGATCACTATGGTAACGGGGGAGCACGTGGTCACGCAAACCCACGTGAAGCCGACACCAGGCGAAGGCTGGACCGTCTCATTTCACAGCAGTTTTGAGCAKCCTACSYGGCCCAGCAAGGAWGTGGCCTACGTGGCCCAGCCCAGGTCCTCATGAGGACCCAGCCCATGAATTGAGACACAGCCGTGACTCGGTCTTGTCTCAGATAACTCTGCCCCCTCCCTCCATATTGTTTACCCCTCTGGCAAACAGGAGCACAGCATATGGTGCAGGACTGCCTGATCTGAAGGGCTTCACCCCCTCAGGCCGTTGAACTCACGCTCAGAGATCAGACACACACCCAACCTAACAAGTGTGTATTCTGTGGGACGTGGATAGTAAAATAAAAAAGGTTCATGCATGTTTTAGTGCTTTTTTCCACAAGAAAAGAGCACTAAAAAACAAAAAAAAAATAGGTAGGTGAATTTTGATAAAGAAATATTAAGGCATTCAAATTTTAATTGTTCTTTTAATTGTCTGAATTATAAAACAACAAACTCTGTGGCAAACAAACAAATTAGTTGCCTATTTTCTCTGTTTTGACACTAGACATMATCAGGATAGTGCAACAAATATCACATAAAAAGTATAATAACCTCATAAGTGATAAATAGTTTAAGAAAATAATAATGATGGTGAAAAATGACAAAATACTCTGTCAGAAAGGCAATCCTGCAGARTGGTCTATGACAGGATGATATAACACAACCAGTCTGCCAGAAATATTAACACAGTTAGGGATTAATCAAATCTTTATTATGGTCATTTTTTTCCCAATATGTAGATTCCCATGTTTTGGCATCTTGACAACTTAAAGTTATGAAAAGTTAAAGGGGCAATGTTGTGTGTTTGTCAGGCATATATTTAAAGGGCCAATATGATGTAAATTCAACTTTTTTGAGTTTTATATCATGTTATAATGTTATCCTCTCATAAAAACATGACCAAAGCCTTGCTCTGACTCATTCATCATGTTTGAGAAATCCTGCAGAGTTTTTATGAAGCCATGCTGAGGAGCAAAACGACAGNTATATTTTAGTAATTATTTTTCAGTTGACTTTTTGTTGCTTATTTTCAAGCAATTTTTACTCCATGTATTTTAATTAAGGAATAGCCTACATTTTGTTTTATTTTAATTTYGGCTTAGTCTTGTGAGGATTGTGTGCAGGCAGAATGACCCAGGGYGCAGGCAGGCTCAAAAGGGTAACAAAAAGCTTTAAAAATAAACAAAAAGGCTGASAAGTGTTGAAGCCAGAAGCTGTTGTCACTCAAAAAGTTGTTTACATCCCACAGAGACCAAGCAGTGTGACATCATTGTTTACAATTTTCTTTGAGACTGTGTCTCAACAATGCATGATTTCCAAATAAGGAAGGAAGCTTCCAGAAGGGACCAGGACTCTGGTCTTTCTACTTAGACCTCACCTCAGTTCTGAGCCCCCCAGACAGGCTGGGGAGAAGGACTCTCACTGTCTCCAGGTGATGTTGGTTTAGRCCTTTCCTACCTYTTCTCTGAGAGCTCTTATACATTGTTTGTAGTTGTCTTGTTTCGATATCTGGTGTGGWATAAATTCATTTAAAACTGTTTTAACTTCCAGTMCAATTTTCTCAGTTTAAATGTTTTTAGACAAAAGCACTYGGCGAGATCAAAGGTGAGCCAAAGACGAAAATCATGATCTCAATACAAGGCAGCTCAAAACTTACAAGGATCTTCTCAGGGGAACACAGAACACAGAACATACCACTCTGACTGAAGACAGCACAAAACAATGATTGGACAAAGACTGAACACAGGACACAGAATATAAAGGTAAACTAATCAAGGACAACGAGAAACACCTGGAGGAGACACGAGAGGAAACAGGTGAGCATGGGCGGGGCTAGAGGAATGGCAGCAAGGGAAAGATACACAGGGGAACACAGAAAACACTAGAAAACTAAAGCAAAAAACACAGATCATGACAGGACCCTCCCCTCAACGATGGCTTCCGATGTCGAAAAAGGAGAGGGACGAGACTCTGGGAAACACGTGACAACACAGACTCAAGGACAAAACACACAGAGTCCAGGAGGACAGACCGAAGCCCACCCCACATGGAGCAGGAGATCCGGAGGATGGCCAGGAGACCATCCAAAGCGAGGCCCAGCAGGGAACAGACGTGGAGCCACAGAAGGAGATGGGAGCAGATGAAGACCCACAGGAGGTTGAYGGAGCCAGAGTGTCAACGACGGCAAACGCAGGCGACAGAGGYGATGAGGAGGCTATGGGCAATGACCCAGGCGATGAGGCAGCAACGGCAGCCAACCCAGATGTCGTGGAGGYGCCGGCAGCCAACCCACGAACCTCAAGGACCGCCGACTTGGGACTYGCTAACTCTGGAACCACCGGGACCACCAACTCTGGAACCACCAGGACCACCAACTCTGGAACAGGGACTGGAACCACCAACTCAGGAAACTCAGAAGACACAGGAACAGATTCGGATGATTCAGCAGACCCGGAAGACTCAGGTGACCCAGGAACAACAGGGGTGGGAGGGTGAGCAACAGAATTATCAGGTGGTGTTGTTCTCAATGGGCAGAGCCAAGGGTAACGAGCAGCCAGCCCATCCAACTTTCTCTGCCCTTGCTACAGCTTTTCCAAAAATTCAAGGTAATTAAAATCTGAAAAATTCTTGCCTGCAGGCTGGATACTTAGTCCGATCATTATGTGAGGATAGTGTGCTGGCAGAATGACCCAGGGTGCAGGCAGGCTCAAAAGGGTAACAAAAAGCTGTAATAATAAACAAAAATGCTGGCAAGGCAACTCAAAACTTAAAGGATCTTCTCAGGGGAACACGGGACACAGAACACACCACTCTGGCTAAAGACAGCACAAAACAATGATCGGACAAAGACTTCTTCTTCTTCTGGCTAAAGACAGTACAAAATAATGATCGGACAAAGACTTCTTCTTCTTCTGGCTAAAGACAGTACAAAATAATGATTGGACAAAGACTTCTTCTTC